GCTCAACCGCTGAGCCACGCCTGGCCGGGCCTTTCTCTGTTCTGTTGGGTAACTCTGGACTTGGAAGGTCACTGTTCTAGCATCTTTTTTAACTCCTCCTCAGGTTCAAACTCACCCACCGAAACTGGCAACTCCAAGGCCTTGCCCTCTGTTCGCCCTCCCCCAGCATTCCCCTCGGCCCCCCGGCCTCCTGAGCACCCTCTTCCTGGCCAGCTCGCCTGGGACCACCCACCTCCCTTTCTCCAGGCCGCTCTTCCTGACCGTCTCCTGGGAGCATCGGTCAGACGGCCACAGACCCTCACCTTGAACAACACCCAGGCTAGGAAAGCGGGTAAACCGAGCCTGCAGTCCCTGTTGTCATGGCCTATATTGTCCACCGTGACAACATGCACATCCTCACCGCTGGGTCTATATTCCCCATGCTCCTTCCTCCCTGCCATGCCACTGATTTTAACTTCATTTGTGGTTGTTGTTTTACCACTTAGTTACTCTAAATGACCCCGTGCATAGCAGCAGCTGGCCTGTGAGCAGTGACGGAATGTGCCTGTCCGCAGACTGACTGGTCAGCGGGGGTGCCTGTCCGCAGACTGACCGGCTGGTCAGCGGGAGCACCTGCCCCCAGACTCACTGGTCAGCAGGAGCGCCTGTCCCCAGACTCACTGGTCAGCGGGAGCGCCTGTCCCCAGACTGAGTGGTCAGCGGGGGTGCCTGTTCGCAGACTGACTGGTCAGCGGGGGTGCCTGTCCGCAGACTGGCTGGTCAGCGGGAGCGCCTGTCCCCAGACTCACTGGTCAGCGGGAGCGCCTGTCCCCAGACTGACTGGTCAGCGGGAGCACCTGTCCGCAGCCTGGTCAGCGGCACAGCGAGCACTGCGGAAGGACGGAGCTGTGTGGACAGTGTCTGGCCCACAGTTGGCATCAGAAAGCAGCAGGTGCCTTTACCTGAGCCCCATCCCCGGTGGGCGCTGTGGGCCCTGGGGTGGGGCTCAGTCCCTGTCCAAACCTGAGACTAGTCCTGAGCAGACGGCTCTGCGGGGAAGCAGGGGAGGACTGAGCAGCACTGATGGGTGACAGAGAGAGACATGAATTGTTTTTCCTCCTGAGAGCAAGAGCATGTGAGGACATCAGCAGAAGTACTTAAATAGGGCAGAGACTGCAGATTTCTTAAAGGAAAGAAAAGCCCTAGTGCTCAGAGAGGTTGAAATACTTTCCCAAGTTCACAGCTAGTAAGTGTCAGAGCTGTGGGGATAGTTCCTGGGCTAAAATCTTTCATATCTAAGTTTAGGGTTATGTGTGGCTTTCTTCACCCAGACTCACTGTGGGCAAACGGAGCCATCGTTAATTTATGCACTAAGTGGCCAGGGCAGGTTAAGCTGCAGGGACAGGCCACAGGGTGAGGTGGCAGGGGCTCTCGTGATGGGCTGCCCGCAGGTGCCTCTTGCCCATAGGTTCAGTGAGCGCAGTGAAGGGAGAGACAGTCACCTCCTGGACCAGGTGGCATCTATACCAGGTGTCACGCAACACCCAGCTGACTGTCTGTAAGGCTGATTTTGCCTTTCATTGGAGCCGGCTTCCTTCCCGCCCCACACCGCATGCAGACTCCATATCCAGCTCTGTGGTCAGCCATGACCTTGCAAACCAGGGTATTTAGTGGTCATTTAGAGCTGCAACTGTCTTGTTTCCAAAGAAGTCAGACTTAATGAGGGCGCAAGGTTCTGAGAATCGGGACGGGACAAACCTGTGTTCATTCCCAGTTGCTCATCACAGCCGTGGGCTTTGTGCTGTGGGCTGTGCCTGCTTGTCTGTGTCCTTGGATCAATTTGCACTAATTGAGCCCTTGAGCGGGCTGTGCACATGTCCTTTTGAAGAATTTAATCTTGGCTGTGATGTGTGGCCGACAGTGACGATCAGCCGGGTTCTCGCAAACCCTCCGGGACAGGTTGGGCTGGGGCGTGTTTGAATCGGTTGCAGCTGCTTGTTGTTTGTTGCTCCTGTGCCCGTCTGGACCAACCACGAGACAAGGACAGGGAAGGTGATGTTGCTTCATGAGAATATTTACAAAATCAGGGAGATGAGCCCTGGCTGGTTTGGCTCAGTGGTTAAAGCATTGGCCCGCGGACCGAAGGGTCCTGGGTTCGATTCCGGTCAAGGGCATGTACCTCAGTTGCAGGCTTGACTCTCAGCCCCAGTCGGGGCGTGTGTGGGAGGCAACCAATCAATGTTTCTCACGTCAGGGTTTCTCTCTCCCTTCCCCTCTCTCTGAAAAGCAGTGGGAAAAATATCCTAGGGTGAGAATTAAAAAATAAAAAATCAAGCAGATTCGGGGCATGAAGCCGGCCTGTTCCTTTCATCCAGTGATTTAACGCCCCGCTGTGTCTGCCGACAGCCAGCGGAGACTCGGTGGGCACCTGCTACATGCAAAGCATCGACCCGCCGCAGGAAGTGCAGGTGTGGAGGCCGTGTCAGGCGCCAGGCATAGCATCAGACAGAGCAGGACAGGGTCTCAGGAGAGCCATTAGGAATCAGGTCCTCTTCTGGTTAGAAATTAAATGAGACAGAAAAATTAAGCAACACCTTGTAACCCCACTTCCTGTGCTTTCTCCCTCCTGTGTTCCTTCTCACGGGCAGGGGAGGGAGTTCACTCAGTAAAATTAAATTTCCAAGAAATGAGCATTGCATTTTTTATCTGTGACACCTAAGCTTCTGGCCAGGAAAAAAGAAGAAACCCCTAACAGTATTTCACCTGGATTATTACTCTTATATTTGGCACGTTCAACCTTCAAATAGTAAAAACTTAAAACTTTATGAAAAGTCATAGAATTAAGACTTGAGGCAGAGAGGTGTGAACGAATTATTCATAGTACTTTAACTGAAAATTCCACGCCCCCCCCCCCACTCCCTACAGAAACAGAGGCCAGAGCTGAGCCCGAGCAGCAAAGTGTAGGGTAGAATTAGCAACTGTCTCATCAACCTCCACTCTCATCTGAGTAACTAAAGCCCTAAGATATAAAAAGCAGGAACAGGAATTTTCCTGGATTATCCAAACAGGAGGTAAATAGAGCTAAGGGAAGTCCGACTTAGGAAAACACCTTTAACTGACTTTAATATTCTAATACAGGCCTTGCTAGGCTGTGTTGATGTCTGAGAAAGTCACATCGTAACCTGAGCATTAGATCAGGTGAGTCCTGGGGAGCACAGTCAGCCTACCTCCCAGTTAGCCCAGCCCAACTTGACCCTGTCCCTTGGCGACGAGAAAAGCAGAGGTTAAAAAGAAATGGCTGCAGGGTTCTGCAAATGTAAGTGTTCCAATAAAAATAGCCACAGGGGAGGTTATGTGCTGGCTCTCACCGCCTCCTTGGAGTCAGTGTCTGGAGCCTAGAGCATTTGTACAATGTTCCTGTTCTCCATCCACATAGAACCCCATTGCTTCTCAGAAAGAGAGATGATTTATAAATCACTAGCCTGCCCTTTGGGCAGGAAAGATGCACCCAGATTTTTAAAATGTAGACTCACCGTGGTCACGTTTCCATTACCCACCTGCCTTTCAGCAGCCTGGAGGCGGCGGTGGGGAGAGAAGGTGGAGTCAGTGCCCTTCCCTGAGTAACCAGGTGTTGACAAGCACTGGTGAGACCGCGAACGTGGGCTCCATCCACATGTGGACCCCGGATGTCATTCAGTTACATTTAGGGAAAACAATGTCACGACAAAGACAAGAATGTCAATACACAGCTCCCTGACCAATCGACTCCACTTCTAAAAAGGGGCAGGCCTAACCACGTTTTCCAGGAAGGGGTGAAATGTATAAAGTAAACATCTGGAAGCAAACCCAGCTGGTCACACCCAGCTGTGAGGAGAATAACTCTGACTCCCTTGTGCTGAGGAGGGGCCTCGGCTGTGCCATGTCTAAGAAAACGGGGTCCAAGTCGCCGCTGGGGGCTGTGTTTAACTCCCTTCTAATGCTGTGGCCTTTTCTGTCTTGATTCCTGGTCTAGGCCTTCTCTGGAGGAGGCCCTGCAGTGGCGTGACTCCCTGGACAAGCTCCTGCAGAACAACTGTAAGTCTGGACTGCATTTTATAAGGTCGAGGAGGGACAGGGAAGACACCTTTCTGTGGCCTGTGTCCTTTCCCCTAATTTTGACATGTCTTAAACTTTCCAAAGTGATCTCCACCAGGGAAGGTGCCAAGGGGGTGCAGTGGAGAATGTGAAGGTCCTGAGAACCCAGTTTACAGGTCATGTCCACTGTCCTGTTCTCTTGTGTGCATGTGTCCTGGCCCATTGATACTTTCATTGCCCTTTTTTAACTGAGCCTTGTGATGGGTCATGATGTCCCCAGCCCCAGTTTCCTCTTCTGGCAGCTTGCCTTTTATAGCCTCATTCCAGGTGTGACAAAGGTGTCAGCGAAAACTCCTCTCCAGGCTAATCCCAATACGCCTCAGTGCACCTCCCCTAATCCATGATCCTTAGCATTCCCAAGGTCGATGGTATCAAGTGCCAACTTCCAATGTTTAAGACTCCCCATGGTCACTGTGGGGCTGGTCTGCCATCACACGGAAGTGTCCTCCTGTCCCTCCATTTTCCACACTTGAGCCCTTTGTCTGGAATGCTTTGCATTCGTATATTTTTTGTTGAAATCCTCCCTCTCCTATCAAAGCAAATGTAAATACTAATAAATACTAACTGCCTGGTCTTCCTGACCATCCAGAATAATTTTCCTCCCCCTGAGTTTCCAGAGACATTATGTATACATCTTCTATGCCACTTACTACTTCTGAGTCTCTAGTCAGTGTTTGCTACTTTGCGTGCTCTTGGTAGCGTTCTCTCCTCCTATAGATTACAAACCCATTGACAGCCAGGACTTGCTTGGGCTTTTGACCTGGAAAATTTCACAGCAGGAAGAGCACAGTATGGGGAAAGTAAATATTTGTTGAGTAGTTCACTCTAAAAATGATTCTACTTAAGATATTGAACCCATATTTCTCTATCTTCCCCACAATAACAGAATAGAAAATTTTGCTCGATGCTTTGTAAAAATAAGGATTTAAAAAACATTTCTCACAGGATCTTCATGACTAATAGGCACAATAGATAGCAAATAATGTCTGTTCAACTATAAATATGAACATTTTTATGTCTTGGTTTTGGCAGGTAAGAGTTTGCAGTAGGCTCAGTATCTTATATTTGGAGGCAGAACACCAGCTCTTCTGATTTGGAATTTTCTTAATCTTACCCATTTTTTATTCTCTTTTTATTTTTTGTGTTAAACAGAGTACCCTCCCCTGACACCTATGAAGTGTCCAATAAATGTTTACTGATGTAATGGGTGATAAATGAATTCATTTTGCTTCTTGAACTCAAAATTCTATGAAGTCAACTAAACATAAATATATTTATGTTTAGCAACTGATTTATTCATTGTCTTACACAGTGGTTTTGGAGCCAGTAGCAACCTGACAGGTGACATAGTGATACATATGAATGCTAAGTACCCTGGGGCCAGGTATTTATTGCTATTGTCAAGAAACCTGAGAATTAGCAGAACTATTTCCATGTTTTCTAAAAGAAGAGAGGATATTTATTCATGTGTCCATATGCAATCCTTTCCAGCCAGGCAAATGCTCAGGGCTATACGTGCATGTGTCAGGCTCTTAGGGGACAGAGTATTGGGATGAGAAAGGTGGCAGAAGGTAGGCAGTTAGTGTCAACACCATAGCATTTCTGAGTGACTGAAGTCTTTCAGTTTGCAAACAGATGTGAGCTTGAGGCCAGAGATTCTACAGTAATATTTTCTACTTCTCAGAGGGGAAAATTTATATGCTGCTACCCTATTTACATGAATATCAAAAGTGACCTCACTCATTAGGGCTGCCCTGGGGTTGTCATGGGGGCCACAGCCCAGAGTGTTCCCCAGGGGAGGACTAGATGGGTTCATCTGCTTCCAGGCAGTGATGCCTGAGCAGGTGTGTTGAGAGGTGTCTTGCCTGGGGATTGTCGGGAATGTGGGTCGGGGACTCCACCGGGGTGTGGAGTGGGCCGGGGGCTAGGTTGGGCAAAGAAGAGAGGTGTGTTCTTTGCAAATTAGAGACACTTGGCCTGGAGTCTGTTTGACTCAGACCCACGAGGACTTCCCAGGAGTAACAGAGAGCGTGTCTGAGGAATGGGCCCGTAGGAAGCCAGAGGTTAAAAAGGTACAGGAGTGGTGTCAGAGGGCCCGCCTAAGGGGCCTCCAGAGAAACCTCAGAAGCCAGATGAGGAAAGAACAGCTTTAAACATCTCCCAGCCCAACTGAGCATAAAGCCATTTCATGAGTCTGTGTTTAGAGCATGTCTGTCAACAGAAAACGTTGAAATAACTGGAATTCAGTGAAAGGGTGAGGTGAGTGTGCAGGTTTTGTGAGCACTCTCAGGGAATCCTGGTGCTGTCCTTGGGGCATAAATAATGTTTGGGGGACTGGGATTTCCTCCCTCCCTTTTACAGAGGCAGAAAAGCTAGGAGTGCCTGATGGAGATGTGGAGCTAGGGGCCGTAAACTGGCCACAGGCTCATTCTGTGAGGGTTTCCTCCGGTCTTGGTCTCGAGCCAGGGGTGTGGGAACTCACCAGACTGTGCTCCCGCTCTCACGTCCTGGCAGTTAGAAAGTGCCTGGGAAGTTTTCCACTTCTACAGACTACCTGACACCTTTGTTTAAGAAACAGTGAAGCCGGGCCGGGCATGGCTCAGAGGTTGAGTGTCAACCTAGGATCCAGGAGGTCACGGCTCAATTCCTGGTCAGGGGCATGCAGGACACAGCAGATCAGTGATGACTCCGTCACTGATGTTTCTCTCTCTCTCCACCTCGGCCTTCCTCTCTCTGAAATCAATAAAGATATATTTTAAAAATAAAATAAAGATAAACAGGATCTAAGAGATATAGACAACAAAGCAAAAAAATTAAAAAGGAAACAACAGTGAAAACGAGCCGCGCAGAGAGAAGCAGCGTGTTTCTTCTTTCAGCACCTGCTCCGAGAGCCCTGAGCTGTAGCAATAGGGCAGGAGATGCCGGCTGGGAGAGGGCAGACGCAGCTCATTCCCCGGGCGCAGTTCCAGATGGTTTCAAAGTAATGTTTCTAACTAGGCTTCTAGAGAAAATTGCTCATCATACCTGGCCTTGCCCCCAGGTTGTTAGGTGCTCAATGAGAACTGTTTTTAGGGTAAGTACAGGGAGGGGACTGAAATGCAAAGTGTCTTGTTTAAATCCAGATGTAGCTGGTGGCCCTGGCCCACATCCATCAGCACAGAGCCATCTGTCTCCTTAGAGTTGAATGTAGTTGCAGGTACTTTGCAAGACACGGAGACCATGAAGACACATAGAGGATAAATGGACAAAAGGACACCCTGCACCCTGGTTTAAGCACCACATGTTTTCGGAGCATGTTGTGTAAAATCTGTGTGCTCAGAGTGACTAATGCATGGACAATTAGAGTCTTAAAAAGGAGTGGGAGGCAGATTCGAGGGAAAGGGAAATAGGTGAAATTAGGTCGAAGGAAATGAATTCAGTAGAACTAATAGCCTGAAGAAGGGTCTGCTGAGGGGGACAAGTGAGAGGAAAACTGGCCCCCATGTCCTAGTGACAGTCCTGCCTCTGCCCAGGGAGGTGCAGGGACCCCAGGCACGTCACTGAGTCTGCAACTGTGGACAGTCCAACAGCACTACAATTTTCTGTCTCTTTTACAAACCTTCCTTCCTTCCATGATAAATGGGCGTGGACTCTCTCTACATTCAGATTTATGAGAATCTTTGTTTTAAATATATATTTATATACATAGATACATATTCAGTCAGCCTCAAAAAGGAAGGAAAAAATGAAGATAGACAGTGGTTCCTCCTTTATTTCTCCAGTGCCCTCTGCACCCTCCCAGCCTGCTACTCGGACATCTGGAGTTACGGCTGGAGGGGTAGGAAACACACTAATCAGCAAACAAATGAAAGCGCCAGGCTGAGAATGCCCAGGGCATGTTTGCAGTAGGTGTGTACCTCAGGTATTTTCAGCTACATGCTGAGTCTGCAGGAGCAGCACACTGTGAACGGAATCACAACAGCCACAAGCAGGTTAAATCTATTACATTTTAATACCGATGTTCTCTGCGTGGTGACTTCCTTGGCCCCTCCCGCCCATCCCTCAGGCCTGAGACCCGGTTGCCTCCTCTGTTTGGACCTTTCCATGGTTTTCCTTCACTGTGTACTTGTTTTTCTGTGTTTCTTCATTTTCTTCCCACTTCCCCCAGAATCTGTCAGCTCCATTTGGCAGAACCCTGGCTACTTTACTTACCTTATGACTCATCACAGTGCCTGGACTGCTCAAAAATCATCTATAGAAAGAAATTAAAGGATTGTAAGGGCTTGTACATGATAACCAACATTCATATTACTTACACTGCCAAGCCAATTTCAGAGGCACCGTTTTCTAATTGGAATCCAAAATTAGTAGGAATCCAGAGTGGCTCTCAGGGTCACAGCACTCCTGGATGCCATGCACAGGTATGCAGACACCGGATTCACATCCCAGCTCTGCCACTTGCCAGCTGGACCTCTCTGACCTCACCTGTAAAATGGGGTATTAATAACACCTGCCTCTGAGGCTCATAATGGGAAGAAAATGAGTTCACAGAAACCTGTGACAGAAATCTGTAGTGAGGAAGCCTTGGCTACACAGCAGGATACAGTGATAGATGATAGATAGACAGACAGATAGATGAATAAATAGGTGATAGCTACATGATAGGTGAAAGATAACAGAGAGATGAGAGATAGACAGACAGACAGATAGATGAAGGATGGTAATTTTATTTCCTCAATGACCCTTTCCTTGCTAGATGGACTCGCCAGCTTCAAAAGTTTCCTGAAGTCTGAATTCAGTGAGGAGAACCTGGAGTTCTGGATCGCCTGCGAGGACTTCAAGAAGACCAAGTCCCCTGCCAAGATGGCTGAGAAGGCAAAGAAGATTTATGAAGAATTCATCCAGACTGAGGCTCCCAAAGAGGTTGGTCCTGCTGGGTCGTGGGTGGGCGTGGTCCTGAGGAAGGAGTCCCGTCAGGGATGCTGTTTGCAGCCAACGGCTACCCCAACCGGGAGTGGGTCACCTTTCTTGAGCACCTGCTGGGTGAAGAGATGGAGCCATGTGGCCAGCAGATGTGAACCTGAACCCTGGTGAGACCACGGTCGAGCAGTGCGGTCCCACGTCGGCAGCAGGTGGGGATGGTGCCGGCTGTGTGATCTTGGATGAGTCAGCGTCTCTGATCTTAGCGCCTTCCTCCCTGAACATGGGATGAAGAGACGATTTGTAGGGTTGTGAGGGTGGAATTAAACAGGGGATGTGAAAACACACATCTCATGTCTCAGCTGAGTAAGGCCTAATGAATATTCCCACCCCTTACCGCTCTCTCTTCCCCTTCCCTCCCCTTTCTTTTTACTGAAAACTCCTTTCCCTTCCGCCCTCCTCCCTCCCTTGTCTTCCCTGGGCCTCTGCCATTTATGCTCCCGTTGGGACAGCAGGGTCCCCGCTCATGAAAATCAGATTATTACCAGATACCAGTGCTGGAGATGTTAGAAGACAAGACACCATTAATTGGCTATTGAAGACAAGATGTGTGTTGATTTCAAAGAAGATTTGGGACAGTTTGTCTGCTCTTTGTTATTTATGAAAATGGAGCTGTAAAGCTCTGTGGAATCCAGGACGCCCTCAGCAGGAACTGTGCCTGGTGTAGTCCTCCCAGCATCCCTTTTCTCTTATAGGTGCTCTAGACTCTTTGGTTATGAATTAGTCATCACTAATCCTTTTTGAAGGTATATATGTTTGAGTGGATGGACAAGTGGTTTACCTAATACCGCAGGTGAGCTTCCCCATGACTCAGGGGTGGAGGTCAGGAGCATGCTGTGTAGGGAGCCTTGGGTCATGGTGGAGAAGACAAGAGTCCTGCAGAGAACTGGTTCCATCTTGCTATAGAAATTAATTTGGGGTCCTCTCCAGATCTTCCCCTCTGCTCCTCAGCCTCCTACCTGTGTGCATAGGTTAGCACCCCCCGTTTCCGAGGCCGTTGGTGCCAGGACATTCTATCTCGGCCAACACGAGTCTCTACTTATGATGTGATCAAGGACACTAATTTCATGATACATCTGACACATGTTTCCCAACTTCACTGGATTCCCCGATTCTAGCCTGCCTTCCTACCAACTCTGTTCCTCTTCATGGAATTATAGGATTTGTTGTAATATCTGCTACCAGTGGCCACCCACCCAGTTCTCTGAGCTACAGGAAAGCACGTTCTCAAGGCTCCTTACTCAAAAATTGGTGTTAGCCTGAAAATAGGAGACATTAAAAATGGAATTTCAAAATAGATAGCGCCCTGGCTGAGTTACTAGAACAAACAAATGGTGGCCCCCATTCTAAGGACCTGTGGGTGCTCATTAAAAGGCCTGCCTCCGGATGAGACGGATGTGCACCTGGATTCACATGCGCTCATTTGCTCTGTGGCTTTGAGGAACCCTTCACCTTTACACACACGTATACGTTCCCCTGCCCCGTAAAAGGAAGGGCTGAGTCTTGGGGTCCAGAGGATCCAGTGGGGCATGCAGTGTCAGCAGCTGGGGGAGGGTCTGACCCCCAGTGCGTGTCCTGATCTAAGTCACACACTCCTCGGAGTATCGGTGGCCTTCCCCACAACCTGGAAGCAGAAATGATGGTTCTCACTCTTTATGGGAAGTCCCACTCCCCCACCCGGATGGTGACGCTGTCTCCTGCCCACAGGTGAACATCGACCACTTCACGAAGGACATCACCGTGAAGAACCTGGTGGAGCCCTCGCTGAGCAGCTTTGACGTGGCCCAGAAAAGAATCCACGCCCTGATGGAGAAAGATTCGCTGCCCCGCTACGTGCGCTCCGAGTTCTACCAGGAGCTCATGAAGTAGCCTGAGCGCCTTCCCGTGAGTGACCCGCCGCAGCCGCTGTGGCGGGCAGACGGCGACCTTCCCTTCACCGCTTCGCTCCAAGACACCCGCCCGGGGAACCCCGGGGTTGCCTCATCATGTGGCCCACGCGATGCTGGGCGGTTATTGTCCAGACAGCTTCCTCTCCCGGTTTCTTCTTCCTGCCCCAGTTCTTAACTAATCTGCTCAGTGTGCTGTGGTCAAACCCGATCGGAACCACATCCCTGTGGCACAAGGATAGGCCGTGGTGACCGCACTGGCCCTGGGCCGCTGCCCGAAGGGGAGCAGAGCCACCTGCGTGGCTCTGACGAAGGCGGGGGGGCTCTGTCGAGCGAGGTAATTGGCCTCGTGTGTGGTCTGCACTCTGATCGGGGCCACCACTGGCCTAATGATTTCTAACCTTGGTTAGTAAACGGTGGTAAGAATTCTATGAGGCGGCCACTATCAGATTTCTTAAGCAAATTATTTTAAATGTTGGTCTTCCCCTTAGAGAACCTCCGTGTAGCTGGAGACTAGAAACAGCAGACACGGCCAGGAACACGCTGTGTTTCTGTGCATCGCCTGTGAGCACAATCAGTGTCCACTCTTCCTTGTACCCCCTCAGACGCCCCCACAAGGTCACTGAGCCCCGTCTTAAATCAACGACCTGAGCTCAAAAACGACTACTTTATAAACACATCTCTGCCCCCAGCATGTGGGCCCAAAGATTCCATTTTCACATTATTTTAAACCAAAACAAGTGTAAAATGCTAAAATTTTTAACTCCAGAATGTAAAATAAAGCAATTGCTATTTCTCTCCTCAAAATCTAGCGGCTGAGTGCCACGACGGGGAAGCGCGTCAGCCTGAAACGGCTGCCGGCCTGAGGAGCTGCCTGTTCCAGAAATGGCAGTTGTCTCAGAAGCACCAAATTATCTTTGGGAAAATTGATTTGACTACATGTAGGGCTTTCTGAGTGAGAGAGCTTTAAAGTACCCTGCGCTTTACAAAACTGTACAATTGTTCGGCAACCCTGGTTCCCTCCCTGTCCCACTCCCCGGGTCAGTAAGTTGTCGCCACGGGGCACGCGGAGCCCTGACAGCCACGCATCGCTAGCAGGTCACACTTTTAATTCAGTATTTCACTATTATACGTCTTGCTAGGATTATCTTATCTTTAGTAGGTTTTATTAGATCGAGTCACTATTGACATGACTTAGTAATAAGGAAAATCACGTCAACCTCGTGAGAGGCTGGCCAAGAGGAGGCAGCCGGGTGAATGAAAGAGAAAGTGCTGGAAAAGGCAAATAAAACCCTGAGCTGCTCCGCAGATCATGTTGCTTAGTCCTGCGTGTCCTCTCCGGGTTCGCTGTCGCTCGCACTCCCCGGCTTCCCGAGCGTGCAGCGCCCCGCTCGGCCGTTTCCTGAGAACGGGAAGTGAAGGGCTGTGTCCTGTTTTCCACCTGCAGGCACCAGGCTGTCCTTGGGTTTTCTGCTCTTGTTCCTCCAAAGGCTGGCAGGCTGGTCCTGAGCCTTTGCGGCCACACCGAGTTCTGCACATAGGCGGGACTGTGGGGCCCACAGACAGCACGTGTCACTGTGGGTGAGTCTGGTCACATTTGTCAATAAAGCCCACTCCAAGGAAACTCTGTCACCAAGCCATGGTCAGCTAGGCCAGGTCCCACCGTGATCATGAAGAGGTTGTCACCAGGGAGGCGTAGCACTGGCAAGCCCCTCGGGGAAAATCGCCGGCCCCTCCTTCCCCAGCATCCATGCCCTCCCTCCCCAAGCAGTTTAAAATCACAGGCCTTTGCTCTCTGGTGCTGCTGGGAGTGCTAGGAACCAAGACTCCAGGCCGCTTCTTTTCCTTTGGATGCCAATACATTTTAAAGAAAATTTTTAATTTAACTAAAAATTCAGATATTTTATACACATTATTTGAAAGAGCTACATGTTCGCAAAATGCCCGGAGAATTAGCGGATATTCCAGAGTTCACCCAGAGGGACCATCTAACAAAGACTCGGGGTGACTACTCACAGGTGGACGGCGCCCTGCGTGGTGGGTGGACCTGTCGGTTCAGCTTTTCATAAGCTGAACCCTGGAGGCAGGGGCAGGAAAAGCTCGCGAGGGCAGCTGTGAGGCCGCAGAACAGCGAGCGCCTTCCAGGCAACGGCGACATAGGACACAGCATGTCCTGTGTACGTGGTTTTAAATGTAAAGCAGTAGACACACGCGAAACTCTCACTGCACTTCAGCAACACAGGGAGAAGGAACAGAAATACAGCCCCCAGTGAAAACAGCAAACCCGTCAAAATTGCCCTGGGAAACTTCTTTGAAACCTTTTGGAAGTGTTTTTAAACTTAGAAAAAAAAGGAAAACTGTGTTACTAGAGGTCTCCATGGTAACACAAAAGAAGATACATTCTTTCAATTCTGGGAAATTAGAAAAACTTCGATGACCTTTCTGGAAAAGAAAGTCTGTAACCTCTGCGTGTCTGTGGCTCCCCCTGCCCCGCCCGAGGACACTGCCTGGGAGGGAGGGGGCGCTGTCCCCCCAGCCACGGTGGACCTGGGATGTAGACAGGTGGTCAATGGGAGCAGGGGTATCTGTGTCTTCTTCTTGGGGAAGCCTAGGGTTAGGCCAGGAACGGCCTTAACTGCGTCTTTCTGCCTGGGTTTGACGTAGGTTGAGGTTGGGGTCAGACTAGGACCTAACCTGGACCAGAAGAAAGAGGCAGACTATGGACTCCAGAGCAGAGTCGGACTGTTCCATGTGTGTCTGCCAAAGCACACAAGCACCCCTACACACATGCACACACACATACACTCACACGTACACATGCATGTGCATGCGTACACAGGCACACACGCACACATACATGCACACAGAAACAAATGTGTATACACACGCACATGCACACACATGCGCGCACACTCACACACATTCTCTCTCCCAGACAGACACCTTCTGAGATCCAGACTCACGGAGGCAGTTCTATAACTTTGCCTTCAAACCAATAGAGTCGAATGTCTGGAAACAGTCTCTGCCCCTCCCGTGTGCCCTGTTCTCCACACGGCAGTTGTGCTTAAGTAGGCTTCAGGTTTTAGTGCGTAAAGAAAGAACTCGGTAAGGACGTTGCTTTTATTTTTATCTCCTGCAAAGCCTTGGCCCGGCTTGGCTGGTGTTCACTCCCTTTCAACAGGATGGAGTGAAAGAATAACAGTTGTCCAGGGGTTTCAATAAAAACCTGACCAGTCCGTCGAGAAACTAGCAAGCACCCGGCTGGGCTTCATCAGGCGGCCTGTCCCACCACAAATTTGATCACTTGAGAATCACTTGAAAGGCTAATTATTTTTCAGGGAAATAATTTCAACCCCTGAAATCATTCCCTCCAGCAGGCCACTGACCATGCTTCCTGGGAACGGAGCAGGTCTGGGGGGAAGGAAACGTGCTCTCTCCGGTCCTTCCTCTCGCCTTTCCCTCCCTCCGCCCGCCCTCCCTCCCCTCTCTGCCCTCCTTTCCGTTTCCCCTCCACCGAGGCGAGGCCCAGGGCGAATGGAGAGACTGGAGGGGGGCAGGCGAGGAGGGAGGCAGTGCTTCGCTAGGGAACCTGTAGGAGACGCTCCAGGGCTGAGAAGCAGCCTGCTCCCGTCGGCAAGGTGGCAGGAAGGCATTTCTTGACTCAACACAGCCAGATGAGAAGCTTCATTTGAAATCCTGGGGAGTCTTGATTAGAGAAAAGAACATTCTGGAGGATCCACTGTTCCCATTTGGCTTGTATGTGCCAGACAGCAGAGGGTGGAGAACTCAGGTTCTAACACCCAGGTGCCCAAACCAAGGCCCAGGCACCCTACAGGTCCCGGGAGTGAGGCCCCGATGTGTCTCCCCGTGTCCTGACTCAGTTGTCCCTGGTCGCCGGGCCTCCATCCTGTCACATTGGTGTGTATTGGACATCTGCTTGCCACAAGGCTCGTGGTTAACAGGTTAGTAACTGCTGCTGGTGTGACACGTACTTTCACCCAGGGAGGTCCTGTGGCCGAGCAGAGTGACAGACACCCAAGGAGAGGCTTTCCCAGGCTCAGCTGTCCATCCTGGAACCAGAAAGAGCAGCTCGTCCAGCTGAGGGCACAGCTGTAGCTTTGAATGGAAACTCGGGGCAGAGAGTGAAGGCAAAACCCCAACCTCTGTAATATTATCCTGACCTCACAGTTTAATACTAACTTACTTTTCCAGCAGAGAAACTACAAATCAAACTCTTAACACTCGTATCAGCTTAATAAACCTCGCACCCATTACCTCCTTTCTCACCTGAGGGCCCCGCTCCACCTGGGCCGCCTCCCCCTCCCCTCCGAGAGGAGACATCTGACATGGTTGGGTCTAAGCACAGTTACGTGAGAACAAATACACTGCGAGCACTAACCTCCTGCCAGGACAGTGTAAAGCTGCGGGTATGCGAACCCATGGGGAGCGCTGAGAAATTGGTCACTGGACAGAAGTAATCTGGATAATTTCTGCCAAAAGTTCTTTTCAAGTCACAGTATCAGGGTTTGGGGGAACTAAATGTTTTTACAAAGCTGCAACTCACAGCTTATCATCAGGAGACCCGGCCCCCAGGGATGGGGTGGAAACAAGGGTTTGGGGGACCCACTTGTCAGCGCTTATCCCATAGGGTTTCATTTGGAAGAACTGTGTTTATCTTCTGATTTTGTGTCTAATACATTGTGTACCATGAGACTCCTCCTTCGTGGTAAATAGAGCACCACATGCTTGTCTGTAACCACAATCACATGTTAAATTAAATATATATCCGTGTTGCAGCCTCATGTGAGTCCTTCCTGACTCCTGAACACTATTTGTGCGAAGCCCTTCCTTCAGATGGGCATATCCCTTCGCTGTGGCCCTGACAGCAGGTGAGGCCTAGGCCAGCAGGGACCGTTCCCATCTTGACAGTCATCACTGTCTGCAGCCCTGCACGCAGGTGCGAAGAGGGAGCTACGCTGCGGA